TGTCACAGACTGGCGACCTGTCCAGGGTGGACCCCACCTCTTGCCCAGTGTCAGCTGGGATTGCCCGTAGGGGGGCACAAAATCCAGAGCAAAACATTAAATGAGGCTCTGCAGACCTGCAAAATTAAACATGGTCTTCTGATTATCAGAGATCAAACATTCTGATCCATGCAGTAAAAGTAATAATTCATTTTCAAATCAGAATTTATTATTTGTCCATAGTCACAGCACCATTCACAAAACTTTGTTCAGTCCTCACAGTGCTTTGGATGTTTGGGCTTAAGTACAATATTTCTATCAAACATGTTCAGTCATATTGAAACAGAGAGTAGGAGCTTACACAGCTAAATACTTATATCCTCTACACATTTTCTAGCACTGAGGTCACATTGGATTTTAGTCGTTTCCCTTGGGACTTGATACTTCAATGGTCTTTGGCAGCTTTACAGCTTGGTTCTATTGTTAAAATACTTTTTGGCATAGCTGTCCATTATACTTGGGTGTTAAGCTGCTGGTTCACACAACCAAAACATTTGGAAGTAACAGTGTCAAACATTTTACAGTGGTTGGTCCTAATCGCTATAAAACACTGAGGGAAACATCTGGGAGCAGTACTTTCAAATGCTTTCCAAACATCTGGGGCTATTAAAACCGCAGCCAAGACACTGGAGAACAGGAAAGAGTTTGAGGTGCTGGAGCGCCAGGTTGTCATCACAGACAGGTGCTGTACAGCGTGACTTTGGAGCTGATCTCCGTCAGGATCCGGCGGACGCGGTCCTCCAGCTCAGACAGTTCTGCAGCTTTGGCCTCCAGGATGCGTTGGTTGGCCTCATACAAGGTCTCTAGCTCTGAAAACACAGCACAGCGGCATGTTTGAGATACAGGAAACGTGGGTTTGGGCTTTAAATGGAATACATTGAGTTCCATTGTTTATAACTTTAGCCAACATTTGTCATTAAGACGTCCCCCTTTAAGTTTTTATAAATTAGTCAGTCAAGAGAAATTTAATAACAATAACAATATTTTTCATGTCATTTTCTGGTTCCAACTTCTCAAATGTCAGTATTTGCTCAAATAATAGTAAAATAACAATAACAAACTGAATATTTGGTCCAATCCCATATTTTTCGATTGAAAGGTAAAAAAAAAAAAGAGCATATGCAAAACATGCCATTAAAGAAACAAAACTGATCTAAATATATTAAAGGCCACCTCCGAGTCTCTGCAGCTTGCTGCTGCTCTGGGCGAGCAGGTCTCTGGCCTCCTGCTGCAGTTTGTCCGCTCTCTTCCTCGCCTGAAGCACCACGTCCCCTTTATCCTCCACCAGGTCCTCCACCTGCTCCAGTTTATGTTTCACCTCCACGTCAAACTCCTACACACGCACACAAAGGACTGTGCATTACAGGGATGACAGCAGCACATTAAGGCCTTACACTGCCCTCGTTACCAAAGATTCAATCAGAATGCAAGGATGTTTCTAAAGAGTGTGTGTGAGACCTGCTGGGCCTCCTCTACTTCCACTTTGGCCTGCTCGCTGGTCCTGTCAGTCGTCTCCACCAGCTGCTTCACCTCCAGGTTGTTCTGTCTCAGTAGGCTGACCTCCCTCTCCAGCTGAAGCAGACGACCTGTGGAGTTACCGAGCTTCAGCTCCGACATGGCCGTCTCCGACTCCACCTGACACACACATTCAAACATAAGATAATGGAAAACTGGTTCCTGTGTGAACTGTGTTCACATGCTCTATAAAAAGGGGATGAAAGTTTATTATGTGACAAAAGCAAGAAATTAAGGACAGAAAGATTTTAGATTTTACTGGCTGAACTAGTCAACTATTCATTAAAACTGAGTGCACGTGAAGAGAGCAAGCTTCTCTGAAATGTTTTGAAGGAGAGTAATATTTTGAATGAATTAATGGAACATTAACGGACATTGGTGTAATTCTTTCATTAGCCACCTTGGTATCATCACACAAACTCACAGAAACCAGCAGGTCCAGGGTGCCCTTAGTGTTGTTTTGGGCCAGCTGGATGGCATCCATGGCGATACTCTGAGCACGCTCAGTCTCATCCAGGGCTGCCTTCACCATCTCTGCCTTCTCCTTCATGATGGATGCCTGCTTGCTGAGGGACACACAGACAGTGTACATGCTAACAATAGTAGCAGGACTTGATTTGTACGTCATGGGACGAGGAGAAATGCAGTTAAAAGTGCTGACGCGGGGCTTTCACCAGCCTTTTTAAAGAAACGTGATTATTTACAGACACAGTGAAAAGATGTCTATGTTCACATGTAAATAGACTGATAGTTGTTTCTCACATTTGTCCGATGTATTTGTGTATAAAAAAAATGAAACTTTAAAATATTTTTTCAAGCTTGAGCTGTTATAATTTGAGTGATTATCATTAAAGTGTGTGTCAATATCCATATTGAACAGTGAACAAAGAGTGAAATGGAAGGTTGTGTTGGTTCTTTATGTTTTAAACATTTTTGACAGGTCTTTCTAGAGATTCTGGTTTTTGCTTTGTTGGCCCCCGACTTTCTCCACAAGATGGAGCCATAATGGGAGGCGAGTAACTGCAAGTGTTTGGCAGATGTGCTCTGTACTCAGGAGAGTTCACTTCACCCAAATCATCTTCTTGAGATAATTGCAAGCGGCTGGGAGATGTCCGGTGCGAACTGTAAATCGCATTCTGTGGGATGGAGACATGGATGGACTGTGAAACGAGGGGCACCCACCCCTCCTACGATGGAGCCTCAAACTGAAAGCAACACAAAATGACTAAACAACACTATTTGCACTTGAAGTAATTTTGTGTCTCTAATTGTTTTGCATGTCTTTGTGGGTTTTTGCAGTTTTTTTTTGACTGGTTATGTGTCTCTGTGGTCATTCTACATTAATTTGTAGTCCTTTTGTATTTTTTTGTGTGTATTTGTATTTTTGACCCGCATTCTGTAATTTGTAGTCCTTTTGTATTTTTTTTGTGTGTATTTGTATTTTTGACTCTTTGTTTTTGCATCTGTTTACAGTTAATTTGTTTCTTTGTAGGTGTTTTTGGACATTTGTTTGGTTATTCCACACCTTTCTGTAATTATTGTCTTCGCTGTATTTTTTTGACATGTTTTGCTTCTCTTTGTGGTTGTTTTTTCTTTTTCAAGTCAGTTTCCAACTTCAAACGGAAGCACAGGTCCAGGGGCCCCCTGAACCCTGGGGTCCTTAGGCCCAACGGCCCCGTTCAGTAATCCATCCGTAGGTGGAGGCAGAAATTCCAGATTTTCTGCATGTTCATAATATCTATTATACTGTATATGTATCGTACTATCATGCTGATTAGGTGATGAGTAGTTTTTGATAAATGTATCTGTTCTCCATGTTGTCAACCCACAGTCTTAGTCTGGAGCAACAGTGTTATGGAGCTGACACATGCAGGGACAAAACAAGGCGAACCCAGACACACATGAGTGACCATAAGGGAGAGTCGGACTGATTACTAATGTGAACCCTGTATTTCTACTGTTTACCAGCCTAACTACATGTACTACCTGGCAGCCTGGGCCTGCTTCAGCAGCGTCTCCGCAGCCTGGACATCTGCAGCGCTCTGACTCAGTATGGTCTCCACACCGGTCAGAGCGGCCACCTTCTCTCTGATCTCCTCCAGCAGCTTCTCCAGTTCCCCTGCCGAGGCTGGCATCTCCAGAGCCAACACCTCGTTAGCCACTGCCTCGATAACACTCGCATTCGCCTTGTCACCTGGATATCAGAAACCAAACAGAGATGATCCTTTGAGTTGGAGTGCAGTCAGAGCTCGTCCTTTTTAATTTTAAACATTTTTATAAATATTCTATATCTAAAAAGTGACTGGATAAATTTTTCTGTACACTATTTACACAATATAAAGAATATTTTGACTTACTTTTTGCCATGGATTGTTTTGTCTGCCCCAAATTAATCTTCAAAATTGAAATTTGGGTAAAAATTTCAAATGTCACACTTGTAGGCACATTTACACAGTCGCCTTTTTTCCCAGTGTTTTACATTTTGATCATCTCATAGTCTTAAGGTAAAGAAAGCTCTTATTTCATTGACAACTGTAGTCTGGGCGTCCTTTATTGAAAGACTGGCCCGCAGCAATTTCTTTTTCCATTTACACAAAGGTGATAAAATGTCTGAGACTATGTCGTGTATTATATTTGAGCTGCCATAAAACTCCACGGACTCTGAGAAGTAAAGCTGTGCCCCCGCAGACCCATGTTAACAAATGTAGTTGCTGTGTACTCACTATTGAGGAGGTCTCGTATCTCTCCGATGAGGCTGCGGAGCTGCTCGTTGCTCTGCTCCAATCTTTCTTTGCTCTGGTTGGATTTGATCAGCACCTCCATAGCGCTCACCTTGGCCTTATTTGCATTGATGCTGGCTTCCCACACCTGACCACACAGAAAATCAGTGATGCAATCGCATCCATCCTGAGGTTTCCTACAACGGTCAGCATTCACTTACCATCCTGGAGAGCTTGTCCACTTCCTGCATGGCTGTTGTGATCTGCTTGTCCAGGTCCTTGGCTGATTTGAGAGCAGTCCGGGAGGTTGTAAGGAGGCCTGTACAGCCTTCTCCTCCACACTTAGGTGTTCCCTCCTCACCAACGCAGCCTAAACCGCCACAGGGGGAGCCAGAGCAGTCGTCCCCTTCAGCTGCACCACCACATGTCTACAGAGAAGGACAAAATGTAAAGTGATAAATATTTCTCAACGGTGATCTACTCGGTTGTGGGTTTTTGTTTTTTTTTTTATGTTTTTTAGGATGGAGTCCTCTAGTGTTTCTCACCTTCTCGCTAAGTGGTGCCATGTCCAGTTTCTCCAGTTCGTTGGACAATTTGTTCAGCTTCTGTGAGTTTCTTTGGTGCTTGCGGTCAAACTCCTTCTGGCTGCTGCTGAGTCGGTCCTCTGTGGCTTTCCGTACTGCGGCTGACTGCTGCACTGTGTTACCAGGATTACTGGTGGAGGCGTTGGCGAGGTGCTCTGCTGCGAGCGACTGCTTGTGTGCTGTTCTAATGGTGTCCAGGGCACCTGAAAAAGCACATCAAGATGTCCATCTTTTGTCCTGTGTGGGGAGACTAGTGTATCCTGTTTTGTGTTGCAGGTTATTTAGCTGCTGTTGAAGGCAACAGCCCTTTTTTATTATACTGTTAGACAGGCTTTGTCATGCACATTGTCTGATATAATGTATGTTCTCTACTGAAGCCCTGAAGCAGTTTTAAGTTGACTTATTTTTGTTGTTTGATTTATAATCAAAGTAACTTGGTGTTTACTTCACCTGTTCTTTGAATTCCTAATGTAATCAAGATAGGCATGTCATCAACCACTGGCATGACCTGTTTCTCACCCTGCAAGTTGGAATTCTTGGCTTGGTCCACCTGCTGACTCAGCTCTTGGACACTCAGCTCCAGCTGTTTAGCCTCGTGGATCATCGCGTCCAAGTTTGTGTCTGTGAAGTTGGTGTCACTGTGGAGACTGTCCAGGGTCTCCTCTGTCGTGTTTAGCTTTCCATTTAGGTAGGACATCAAATCGCTGAGAGCAGAACGAGACCATAATGAATGTAAATAGAAACCTATTTACTATATTTGTCTTTGGGTACATACGTGATCTTGTGCATCAGCTCCTGGATCTGCTTCACTGCTGCAGGGTGGCTCTCTACTATTTCTCTGACCGCCTTAGCGTTTCGTTCCAGGCTGCTCACTAATTCTATATAAGGCTCCGTCACCCCAGTGGTCTGCAGCTCTGTCACTCTGGCCTCCAGACGTAGAGTTTGGTTGATCAGCTCGCTGACCACGATGTCCCAGGTGGCGAAGCACTCATGGCACCGCTCGCAATCGGGGAACTCACCCTGGTAGCCTCTTGCGCACTGGTCACACCGTGCGCCAGAATAACCCTCCCAGCAGGTGCACTGACCAGTGGCACGATGGCACTGCTCGCTGGAGATCCCCCGAGGGTCACAGTCACAAGCTGGAAACAAACAGAGGAAAGTCAGGGGAAACAAATTCCAAGGATATTCAAATAAATCCAGGAATTGGTGCTGTGCATACTGATGTTAGTCAGATGTTAGATGAATGTCCCAAAGTTTCTCTGCAAGACAATGTCATGTCAGTCGTGTTTCTGTCTACCTGATTAATTTAAATTCAGTATTCGCTCTCCACCAACTTCGCTGGTAAACACGCCACTGTGATTGCACTAAGGTTTGTCTGCTGTTTGGTGCTGAGCGGCGGGGTTTTTCTTGCCTAAGGGCAGAGCAGCAAGGATGGGAGGGGTGAGGATCAACCAACGCAGTAAAGCTGTGGGCCATACAACCAAGACCATGAGCTGAAATTGGCTGAGAAAAACAGCAGCACCTTTTACAGTATATTATAATTTGATTAAGTTAATATAAAAGCATTAGTTTGTCATGGTAATGCAGTGGTTAGCACTGTCGCCTCACAGCAAGAAGGTTCCAGGTTAGATCCCCGGCCGACCCAGGGCCTTTCTGTGCAGAGTTTGTATGTTCTCCCTGTGCCTGCCTGTGTTCTCTGCAGGTGCTCCAGCTTCCTCCCACAGTCCAAAGACAAGCAGCTTAAGTTGATTGGTGGCTCTAAATTGCCCATAGGAGTGTGTGTGAGTGTGGTTGTTTGTCTACATGTCAGCCCTGTGACAGACAAATGGATGAATAGTGTGTCATGGTGAACTATTACACCAGCCACATACCATTGGCACTCACTCATCCACTTTTAATTCACACCTTGCAGTGAAGATGCTGATAGGACAGTTTAACCTCTAAATATGTCCATAACAGCAGCTTTATTATCAATAATCTCTCACACACAATCACTCATTTCTCCCACTGATTCCTCCCTAACGTGGCTGCTGGGCTCTGATTTCCCAGGAAAAGGCGGATTAGTATGTCATCTCTGCAGACAGAGGTCCAGCTGGTTTCACAGCTAAACAAAACTTTGGGGAATAAAGTGGGAATGATTGAGGATTACTGAGTTCCTGGGTGTTTGTCCATGATGAATGTGGGATAATTGGGAATTCTGGAGAACATCTGGTTCTCATGAAGTCATTTCCAGATCCCCTCCCTCTGTTCTGCTCCCCTTTCCTTGCCTCTTTATTTTCTACTATCTCCTTCTTTGACAGCGAGCCAGCTACTGTGAGCCGCACATTTCAGCAGATGGTCGCTCCAGCAGTTTGTTCAATCAGAGACTGATCCTCAGCTGCAACTCGTCGATTCACTGCTACTGACATGTAATTGCTGTCTAACAAAGCCATTTCGCAGTCACCACCGGTCTCCTTCGTCTTACGCAACGGGTTGCACACACACAAAAACATGGGCTGACAGAAAACTTAAAGCCAGGACTTCCAACATGATGGTTCAGGGAAATCTTAACCCACCCAGGAAGAAAAGCGATCTAATGAGTTTAAAAGGACATATAAACACAGAGTGCAGTGCAGTCAGGGAGTGTTCAGACAGTGTTCTGGTTCTGTACAGTTGATCTGAAATGAAACAGGCTGACTGGGAGTGTTCACATCCATATTGGGTGAACAGTGTAGGACTTGTCCATAGTCCTCCAGTGTTAGGACAATGATACACATACCAACAAGGCAGCGGAGGAGTCATGTTCCTGGCCGGCTACATCTTTTACCTCAGTCAAACTGTTCACTCACTAATGCCCAAACTGAAGGTAAAAGAGAACTCAGTACAAGTGACGGTGGCTGCAGTCCAGGTTGAGAAGAGCCTCCCCAAGGAAAATAAACAGTCTGAGTCCTTAAGTTTAAATTGCTGTTGTCATTTTTGGGCAGCAGAAAAAAATTTGTTTTTAAACTGATATGGTGAACATAAATAACAGCTGTTTATTTAAACATGCAGCAGTTGGGGAACAGCATTAGTATTTATTTAGAGCCGTGTTTGTGGCCACTTTGCCTGATTACTGGTGATGGCCTACCATGACATTTAACCTCTGGATCCCCCCAGAAGAGCTCTTTGCACTCCCGACATGTTCTACCACCAAACCCGGGTCTGCACATGCACTGTCCCGTGACCTACAACAAGAAAACAAAAACACATCAGGTTAACAATATATTCTCAGACAACAGGCAGTGGTGGAACATGACAAAGTAGATTTACTCAAGTAAAATTTTGAGGTATCTGTACTTGAGTATTTTCAGTTTGTGCTTCTCCACTTTTACAACTTACTAGTTACTTTTCAGAATCAGATTAATTAAAAAACAGTATAATGACTAATGATCTCTGGTAGAAAACTCACAAGCTGCCAGCTGCAACATTAAATATAATGTCCATAACATATCAATAATTATAATCCAACAGTGTGATATACAGTCATGTTAAACGTGCCATGCTGCATACTGAGCGCTTTTAAATATATTTTGATGCTAATACTTGTGTACTTAAGTAACATTTTGAATGCGTGCTTTTACTTGTAGCAGAGTATTTTTACACCATTGTATTGCTACTTTTATTTAGGGATATTGTGAATTTTGTGTCTAAAATAGCTGAATGTCTGACGTGTATCACATTTTATGGCTTGTCTTTCTCATGAAGACACAATGGACCTCTGTACTTTGATACAACTCACTGCTCTTTGAGAAAAGTCTATTCAGATATTCCACAGTGTATTCTGAGACTTCCTTCCTCTGTTGGAGTGCAGCCAGTAAACACAGAAACCCAAAGGTTTGTGTGTGTTTGTGCACCCTATGTGCTATTTTCTGAGCATACACATGCATATTTGTGTGTTTGAGTAATTAAAACAGAGCTGCAGGAAAACAGAGAGAGAAGCATTTCCCAAACAGCTGGAGTCCATATATCAAAAACAATTTCACAAACACAGGCCTCTGTGATTAGATGGGTTGGTCACAGTGACTTCATGCTGCCTTGTTGCTCCGCTCTCAGTGGAAGCTGTTTGGAAACCTTCCTGGGCAGTCTCCACAGTGGGTAAGGAAAGTTTAGTGGTGCATTGGTAGTTCATCATGTTCATGGAGAGCAAACCAGAGCAGCTGCTGTGACGCTAATACAGGAAATGATGCAGACTTACTGCAGGGCAGTGACTCTGTGCTGCTGGTTTGGTTTGTTTTACTAGTCACTTATTTTAAAAAGAACAAGCAGTGCATGTGCATTTGGTTTTCATTACAGCGTCTGACTCACCTCATTGCAGGAGGATGCGAAGGAGTGGACAGGGTTGCAGCCACAGCGCTCACAGCCTGTTCCGCTGGCGATGTTCCACGTATCAGCAGCACAGCGGTCACAGTTCTGACCAATGACGTTTAGCTGGCAGGAGCACTGGCCAGTGTGCTGATCACACTGACACTGGTCAGGGGAGGAACAGGCCAGAGGTACCGTGCCCATCGAGTGACACATACACTCTGCAGAGAGGAGGAAACATCGTGGTTCAACAAGCGTTGGTTTAGGACGTCTATATCCATGTCTTCAGGTTAATATTGCTGATAATAGTCTGTGTGATTGTCCCATTAGCGACTGTACTCACTCCTGCAGCTCTGAGTGGCAGCGTTGCCGTAGTAACCCAGCTTGCAGTGCTGGCACCTGTAGCCGTCGGTGTGGTGCAGGCATCTGAGACAGGCACCTGTCCGGACGTCACAGGAGCCTGGGTCGTGCATGTCGATGTTGTTGTTACACTGGCAGGGCATGCAGCGCCCACCGGGCACCAGAGGGTTCCCGAAATAACCAGGGGCACACTCGTCACACCTGGCACCTTGAGAAGCAAAAAAAAAAAACAGGAAATAAAGATAAAAGCTGAATGTTACAGCGGTGTTTCTATCTGAAACCGGAGGACAGGCAGACAGTTGTCTCCGCCAACTGGCTAATTATAGATGCACTGGAGTATTGTTGGCGCTGTGACGTGTGTGAGGTGAAGACATGATGACACAATGCACTTGGCAACTGCTTACATGAAAACAAATGTGTGTGTTTGTACCTTTGTAGCCCGGGCTGCACACACACACCAGCTGATCAGTGTTGGCCAGATAACAGCTGTCAGCAAACTGGCGTCCGCTGCCTGGTCCCTCGGGGCACATACAGGGGCGACAGTGGCTACCTGAACCTAACCCTGGATCACCATGGTAACCAGCCAGACACCTGTAAAGAGACAGAGAGGTGAGAATGAAGCAAACATGTTTGGATGACATGTTTCCTACATCTCAGTTGATCCCCTGAATGATCCTCCTGATTTCTTCTGTGACATGGGTCCCTAATCATTTACATACAATTCTGGGAAGGGAAGGGAGGGTGTGTTCATAAATGTTGAAATGAACAACCTCTAGCCCAGGATTTGACTCTTTACAACCCAAAATAAAAAGATGGGGGCAACAAGCACAGTATTTCACAGTATTTGTGCTGTTAGCAGAGCCCTGACATTGGAACTGAGATGGAGCTGTCGTCGTCAACGTCACCTCTCACAGTAGTGGCCAGCGGTGAAGTCTCTGCAGCGCTGACACTCTCCGGTCTGAGGGTGGCAGTGCTCGCTGTGGCCGTTACACTGGCACTGTTGACAACGAGGGAAACCCCAGAATCCCGGCAGGCAGTGGGAACACTGGCGCCCTGAGACCCCTGGGAAACACTCGCACTGGCCGGTCGCCTCACGGCAGAAGGGACTGGCTGAGCCCTGAGGGTCACAGCCGCAAGCTGGGGATAAAACTAGGATTACAGATTAATTTAAATATCAGATGCTTCCAAGTAAGCATCAAACTACAGTGTGCAGTCCTCTCCAACACTTACGTCTGCAGCCGGCGGGGCTGAACAGGAATGTAGCCGGAGCACAGTGTTCACAGTTCCTACCAACAACATTGGGTCGACATCGACACTGACCTCCGCTGGGCTCACACACGGTGCTGAGTGAACCCTGAAGATCACACTGGCATGCTGGGAAATATGAAGAGAAAAGCAGAGATTTATAGAAGTGCTATGAGTAATACTGAAACAGTTTAGTGATTTTTTTCCCCCTAGATTTTCTTGCACTACATACATGATGAGCAGATTTACAGAAGAGTTAAGTCTCATACAAAGATCTTTTAAAGGTAAAAGAAAAATACAGTCAAAGGTGTGTGATTTTATTTTTTCAAAATTTCATCAATATCTATTTTCGTCTTAGATATCAAAAGCAGTAGATCAATTAGTAGATCAATGAAAAATTATCACCAACTATTCTGATAGTTCCAGTTTTTTTGTAAACCACAAATCGGAGTATTTTGACTGTTCGGACGATAAAACTAATTATTTGGACTTTACTTTGGGCTTTAGGAAATGATGAAGAACAGTTTTCTATTTTCTGACATTTTATAAACCAAATAATCAAGAAAAATATTGTTAGATGAATAATTAACAGCTGTAGTTGCAAGTTGTAAAATAGAAAAAAGTGTGTAGATCCACAAATAAAAGAATTAGTGGTAATAAGAAAGTGTCTGCCTCTGTACCTATGGCTCCATTGTGCAGTAGAGCAGAGATGCTCAAGATGTATTTGTTACAGATGTCAGTCATGGGGCTTTTGAAGACACTCCTGCTGCTCTCCAGACATCGGTAGCGTTGGAATGTATCCCACGCTTCCTCACCGTCCACCCCACTGAACATGTCCAGGTCCCTGATCCGGGGCATCAGCACCAACTATAAAGAGAGGAGGAGGGGTCAGAGGGAATAGAAGTGGATGTTAGTAACAGTCTTATGTTGTCTGTCACTTCAAGTACAAGTATAGTGTTACCATGAAGCCAAATCTACCCAGGGTAGTTTTAGTGGTTGTACTCTTCACAGTTAGGATGGCCTACAGTATGCTGTCTCAGTAGGACAGGTCCTTGAAGATACATAGGTGGTTAAAGAATGAATTGCCTTAACATTGTGAATGGGAATTCAACGTACAGAGTCGATGAGCATGTACGGGCTCTGGCCATCACTGGCTGACGAGTAGAGAGGCAGACTGACACGGACCGTGTAGTTCAGTCCCTTCTCAAAACACACCGGGCTCACCAGCAGCACATGTCTGAAACACGACACAGAGTCGGTGTGTGCAGCAAATGTGTTGCAAGAGACACACCCTGATGTAAACTCGTGTTACCTGGATCCAGATGGGAGAGAGATGAACTGCTCATCTCCACTCTGGATGGAGTTGCTGCAGTGAGAGGCATAAGAGTCTGGAGGGGTGAAGACGGGCCGCAGTACTCTGATGTTCACCTGCTCCCACTGCTCTGGCAACTGCCAACACACACAGCCACATATGCAAGTTATGTCCCTTTCTTGAAATCAAATTAAGTCGACATAACCCTAGTTAGTTAGCATATGTTCCTGAGATCCTCTGTACTGTACATGATCTCAGCTACTGTACCACTGTAAACATTCATTGATTGCAATGGCAGATTGTAACTAGACAGAAACATTATGTCTGTGTGTGTGTTACCTGTGGTTCATAGCGAATGAGCATGTCATAGTCCATGGACTCTGGGATGTTGTTGATGGTGAACTCTAAGTAAGCTTCTTCTGGAACATTAACAAAACCCATACCAGTCCATGTAAGACTGCGATCCGGAGGATGGGGCCTCGGTACCACCGTCACACCCTGAGATAAAGAAGACAGACGTAGTTTCTGAAGTCACCCCTGATCAGATCGCACATTAAAATGTACTCACAGGTCCGAGCTTAGCGTCCTCTGCCTCGTAGGTATAGTGATCTAGAGCAACAAAGTAGAAGCCGGACTCGACCCGATCGCAGCGTCGACCGAACATATGCTTCCTGCACACACACTGTCCTGAGTGAGGGTCACAGCTGCGGAGAGAGAGATGGACTTCAGTAGATATTATATAAGACAAGGGTGAGTGCAACATACAGATTTACCTCTAAGCTGTATCTCAGTTGGTTTCCAGCAAGTTGTTGATTTCCATATACTAAAAAAGTCCATCTACAGTATATGGACTTTTGTATCATGACTTTGCCGCACATGTACCCTGACTGTAAACCAGAAACCTGTCAACAGCAAAGCCCAACTTCTTGATCAGCTTTCTAGCATGAACATGCAGCCAAATATTTCTAATGTACAAGTTTTCAGCTTTCTGGTTAAGTAGGAACATTTGACTGCAGCTCATAAATCATTTAACTCGCATTTTGTCCATTTACTAGATGAGGTGTAAATATATATTAATGCTTGTAAAACAATCTTAGAATTGTGGAAGAGCTGGAGCGCAGCCAGATGCTGTGGCCTTCTGGCATTAAAGATTACAATGCATGTGTTCATCTTTAAGCTTACTCGTTATTGACAGCCCCACCCTGGTCACAGTCGCATGGTCTGCAGCCATCCATGTCATTGGACAAACCCCAGTGCTGTGGCTGTAGGAGATCAGTCATTGGTGACTGGCATTTACGCAGAAGGAAATGTGTCCACATTGTGTCTGGATCCGTACCAGACACTGATCGCAGTTGTGTCCGTCGACGAGACGTTTGCAGAAGCACCTTCCTGTGTCTGAATCACAGGAGCTTCCTCCAGGCGCAGTGCCCAGCGGGTTACAGGTACAAGCTGCCAAAACCAAACAATGAAGCAACAGACCTTACTATGTGCTTGTATATTTATACAGTGCATGTCTGTGATCTAAGCTTTAATTTGAAGGTCTCTAGTAATGGGTGCTATGGCTTTCTCTTAGTAGTCACAATAAATCAAATCTCTCATGCCTTTGAAATATTTATTTATATTTAATATTAACAAGGATTAGATTAAGGTATTTTTAATGGGATCTGTAAGGAAATATTTAATACTTGTTATATGTAAAGATGTTTATCAAGGCTTACTGAATGATAATTTGGCCAAAGGGGGAAACTCATGGGCCTCATATACTGCATTTGATTTGATTTGATTTGATTTATTCTTTCAAGCATGTAAAGACAGTTGATATGTCAACACACATAATTTTACACATATCCAACAAATGCTAATCCAATATCAAT